TGGTATATCAAACGGGTAGCAAGCTCCAGACATGCATCAATGGGGACAAAAACTGGCACGGATATATCCATAAAGCAATCGCGGAATACTCTACAAGGTCACTCCCGGGATCTTAATGAATCAGTTGCAGGCATCTAGATCAGAAAGCCTACTTTTGATTTTTTCAAATTCTGACAACCAAGAGTATTTTTTTATTTCGCACACGATCACCACACTTTGTTCAAAGAAGTGTGACATCTCGCCTTTTCTGGCGGGTGTATACCATCCACTTTCCTGTCTGTCTCTTTTTTTCGTGCACTTGCTGCATGCCACTCCAAGATCCAGAAGATTACCCACTTTCATACGTGTTATGCATATTAAACACATATACACTCACTGATGACAGCTACATTGCTTTGTTGTGTTCATGTAGATGGCTTGCAAGCCTGCGGTTTATTCTCAGCGGCTTATCTTTCAGTGCCATATTGAAAAGTAAGGACGAAAGCCTCTCAGTTGCGTGACAAACCATCAATCGTTCGTTATTACTAACAGAGCGCTTGCAGAAACTGACAACTGTGTTTGAAAACAATTTGCATCTGCCTAGAAAAAAGGCACAAATTAAAGCACTCAGAAGCATGTTGCTGTTTTGCGCGACCCTTAAGCCTCTCCCATAATGCAATTATTATCAGCCGTAGAGCATCCACACCCTCACTACAGGAAAACTGTTAGTGTCAAGTACCTGGCCAGTACTTACAATCAAAATTACGGCCTTCCACGGAGCTTTGTAACAGGCAAACACAATGGACATAAACAACCGGCGGAATTCAACGGTGACCCTTAGACTCTGAACAGGTGCTTTTCCACCTTGATACTTAAACTCTTAGCTACCTATAAATGGCAACAACTTTATGACCAAGCGACTGACCAAACGACGCTCACCTTGCCGATCATCGCGTACATGAGTTAGTGGTGCTTTGGGAAGCCTCTACGGTAACAAAGAGGTCTACGGTCTTATCAAGCTCCAGTTAACCAGAAGCTCACCCTCCCAGGCTCCCCATGGAGCGACTCCTATCAATAACAGTAGAAAAACTACATTAAATCCTCGAGGTTACCTCATCTTTTAAATTTGCCGTGAAAGTTATGCATGAACATTTAAAGAAGTGAGAGATAAAAATTCCATATCAAGGCTAGTGGTCGAAGGCAAGTTCAACAGTTGCATTGCAGCTGTGTCACTGAGTGCCCGTCAGCTTATCTGTCTTCTTTATGACTTGAAAGATGATTCTGATTCATCCTCATAGGCTTTCAAAAAGCTCACAAAAAGCCCAATGCAACAAGTGCAATGATGAGTGGGGCTATGTATATTAACAATGACCAGCTATTGCATTCGACCCAGACCAAACGTACATCTATCGCGATGACAGGGTTGAGACTCGCGCACTACAACAATGCAAAACAGCCGCATCTGTATCGACGTGCAAAAGGCGTCTTAGCATGAGAATGTCGTCAAAGCTCGGGGTCAAGCCAGGTCTACAAACTGTTTTTTAAAGAAATGGGGTAATCGAAAAACTTTCCGTATTCCTGGTTACATTTTGGCGAACCCTTGAACCAATAAAATGCCAAGGATGTCAAGGTCACCGTATTCCCGTGAGAATGTTGATCATTAAATCATCAATGAGCTGCAATATGCGAAACAGCATCAAATCGGGATCTTGGAAGCATCTGGATGAAACAAGATCCGGGATGTAGTTCCAGTTGTTACAAACGCAGCCAACAAACCTGAAGCCTTTTGCTTACTGTGTTGTGTGCATGAAAAAGTAGGGACGGATATGTCCTCGGCCAAGTCACGAACCCTGTTTGAAGCCGCGAAAGTGAGATTCAAGAAACAGACAATCGGTCAGCATATGATATCAACCAGTATGCGTGACCAATACCCGTGACCTGTGTAGAAGCTGCCTTAGATAATTCTCAAGACAGACGCAAACGTTGTTTCGGAAAAGTCAGCATGCTAATGATCCGAGCAAAGCTCCTCCGATTTATTCCAAGTCTATTAGACAAGGCAGTGTAAAAAGATATCCAATGAATCTCCTAGAGATGGGAATTTACTCGGGCAAGTACAAAACTGGAGCAGATATTCGCGAGGTTATTGGGGCAATCTCACAGGAATCGTGCAAATGCCAGCTAGAGGTACAGAATGTCCAGTGATACTGTTGATACTGACACCTGTAGGCACTAGCACGGCACTGGGGTAGAACGCAGTTATATCTGACAGTGGAATAATGGACGCAACGCTACCAGTGTCAACAATGAAATTATGTTTTTGACCAGAAGCGGGTATCGAAGTTTTGAAAACTTGATGAAGTTTGGGGCAAAATAGATAGGGAAAGGTTGGAAATATCTGCTGTTAATGCTTTCAGGTTAGTTTCAGGATTAGAAGTTAGGTGACACACTTTTTTGGAATTACGGATAAGTTGAATATGTTCCGTCTTTCCACAGCTAAACGATTAGCTTGCCTGTGAGGCCATGAATGTTTGAAAATATTTCACATTTCATAAATTTTCGAACCGCTGAATTGAGACTACGATCTGTTGGGCGACGTTTTGGTGAATTTGGAGCACGAAAATTTGTTCGAGGTTTGAATTTGTTGTCTATCTGCATCGCTGAATTATTTTTTTCAGAATAATTTAACAACATTGCTTCATCAGTCTTCGTTACATGCTTCTCATGTTCATACGGTTCACATATTCTTTGAGCAGTTTGAAATTTTTGATCTGGACAGAGTAATGAAATGGTTACCAGCGAGGTTGATCAACTATCATGTCGTTTGTTCACGGTGTCCAACTGCAAACATAAGTCGCTACTCATCTTCGGTAGGCCGCTTTCGAATTAATTTGGTCTGCATGCCGGTTCTACAAGATACTCGATTGCTTCTGTTTAATGTTTTTGCTAAGGTATGAAAAAGATGCCCAACTAGTTGTTTTTTGTTGCTGCTGTTGATGGCTTTGATGCGGCAATACATTGCCCTGGATTGCAAGCGGACCAGGCTTTGGGCGTAAGATTACTTGATGTTCCATGGTTTCATTTGTGGACAAAACCAATTTGATGCGGCAATCGAATCTTTGTTCTGGTTGAAATCGGATGTTACTATTATTTTTTCGCAATTCTGAAGCATTCATCTATTTGTCCCCATGCAATTACCATAAATATAAAATATTTGCACCTTTTTTCTACGGATGCAAGAAAACGTTTTCGGTTATCCTCTGCTGATCTGCCTTCCTCGTGCCTTTAGGTGGTATTATTTTTAACTGGAAGAGGGGAATTGCGAAAACAGGTGAGAGAGGACAATTGAAAACAACGGCAGGATCCAGCAAGTGGATGGTTGCGGGGGCTGCCGAATAAGATTACGTGTAATACTATTAGTGAATTCCAAGTCCAATGAGGTTCCGCTTAAAAATTGTGAGTTTTCTACATGGCCAACACTTAATGAAAGTGCCGTTGTTTTTTACAACTGACAGGTGGGGGCTCTCTTTTACGGGGATGCCACTCTAATCAGTTCCATGTCTTAATTTATCAACGTTGTCTCACTTCAACTGCTATTGAGGAAAATTAAACCGAAAGATAATTTACGCCAGATATCGGAAAATACGTAGGCACATTTATTGATTTAGGTAGCCAAACAACCGCTTTTTAATGCAGTCAACACCCAAAACGGATACACTGTGAGTGGTCGCAATTTCCGAGCTTCGACCAAAAGCCCGCAACGCCTTTTGCAGGGAAGGCTTAAGGTTAACGAACAACAGTCACACGAATAAATTGCTTTATTTAATCGGTGGAACCAAAAATATATAAAGCTTAAGCTCCTACTTTGTCTGATTCATTCTTTGATGATGAGCGTAGACAATGCTAAGTGGATTTTTGGACCGTCTACCCACTTCTTTCGAGGTTGCGGTCGCGCTAACTAAAGATACTTTGGGAAATTTTTCTCGTATGGGGGTATTTACATAGATTTACACACGATAGGAATGATTTGGTGTTTTTTATATCTGTCTGTTGGAAGGAGAGCACACCACCCGCTACAGTAGCTCATGCACCAAAATCCATGTTCACTTGAGCGTACCACTACATTCGGGACTGCACAAAGAACAGGCCATTAAGATTTTTCTAATTGTTTGACAATTCAAGGGATCGGATATCAGTTGATATATGCTAAACGTGCTCAACATAAAAACATCCTTCTAGAAGCGAAAAACTCTCCTCACTGCATTGGTGCATTTAAAGGATCGCCTCCCAGACAACAGAACCAGGAACTTCGTCTACAAAATCCAATGTAACTACTGCACTATGGTCTGTATAGGACAGACGGCCAGGGGATTTCACACCAGAATCAGAGAGCACAGGAGAAAGGGAGATGAATATTGGGCGTTACTGAAAGACTAAGTAATGGTGGAACATGCAATGGCATGGGACACAAAGTCAATCTAGAAAATATCGAGGGTTTTGGGTTGAGCCTACTGTCCACTTTACAGAAACCGATATCCCAGACAGTGGAAATCGCCAAACATCCCGGCGCAAACGGATCAAAAAGCGTAGAACTGGCAAGCATATGAAGAGCACTTTTAGAACACTTGGCTTGATGAAGCTTTTTGTCAAGAGTGAAACGCCACCCATTAAAAACTACCAGCTACTTACCAAGCTCTTTTGAAATTCTGCCACTTCTTCGTTTGAAACGACCGTTTGTCGCTAATCCCGGAGAATTCTGTAGGAATTCATTGTATGCCAGTGAACAAATAAATTTTTAGTGACAAAAATTGCTTTGAGTTAATGAAAAACCATCACTTTAATCATTCCTGTTTATCTTGTTAGTTGTCCGAGTGATCTTATGTAGAAACGATGTAACAAGTGTTCTTCAAATATGAAACCAGTCAATCACTGTTTTCACAATGGCTCGAGATTCAGTCAAGTCTGTGATTACCCAATCCGACAACTCTGAACAACAGAAGAATGCTGATTACATTCAATGGATTCTGGTTTTATTTTTGGCATGTAGCATACCGATTACAATACAGCGAAAGTCTGGTATTCTGGTTGGCGAAATCTGACGATTATCTTCTGCGGGTGAAGTGCATCGGATGAATTTCTACAATATCCGTACTGGTGTACAAGGAGGGGAAAAACTGGAAACTGAATTATTTCTGGTCATTTTTTCATGGAAAAGCTCTGGTTTGATAACTGGTAATCTGTTCTTCTCCGGAGGAAGCGTGAAAGTGTCCGTTGGAGCGGGAGCTGAGTTTAGGTTGGAAAACAAAGAATAAGATTAAAGGTGATCTCCGCGATTAAAAGTTGTAAGCAAAGTTCGCTTGTGCTCACGCTTTCGAAAGTAGTGATTTGGTGGGCTGAACTGGTTTTATTCGGTGAGGAGCAAAATAAGTCAATCACATCAGATAAGCAAACGATTTGCAAATGTCGAAGAAAATGCTGAGTTCAGCTTTATTTGGTGAGGTGGAGAAATCCGGTAATACTCAGTGGAAACTCCATTCTGTCAGTGAAGCCAAACCCATGATGCAAGGCCTAGAAGCAATACGCAGCTGTTTCATGTTTGATTGAAATCGTTATTGGTGTCCATCTCACCAAGCTAAGAGTTTATCGAACCAGCCAGTTGTTGAACCCTACCATTTGGCCAGGAGCAGCGATCAGCAATGTGATTAGCGTTCACTTGGACAGGACGTGACGTCACTAATACTTCGATAACGGAAACCACACATGTTCACTTATGGGCTGGCTCCTAGATTGAAGACTTATCAGCAGAACGTTCCATACACCCACTCAAACAGTCAGTCTTCTGACGTGCTTATTAATCCATGGTGATTTGAAGAGCTTAAGAAATATTCAACAGAAATTTCTTTTCGGACCGTGAGTAGAATCGGTTTGCAAATCAAGAACATTAGCGTCAAGTCAGATCTGTGTGAGATTAAATGTGTTTCATTATATAATTGACAAGATAGTGCACAAAATGTTTTTAAGGATTGAGAGGGCACATATAAGTTGACCGAAAATAGATCGATATGCCACGTGCAGTCTGTTTCCGCAGCGAACTGTAGGTATATTTCACGACTCAACTAGGTCCAACGGCTTAATTTGTAACAATCTTGAGCGATAACTGTCGTCCTAAAGTAATACAACCGGTGAAGACTTGGGATTACAGGTTTTTAGATGGTAGTGAGAATATATCGATCCATCTATCTTTCTCAGATAGAGATTTGGGCCTGCGCCGAGCTTCCTAGCTTTGCACGCCTTTTGATGTCGGTGAGAAGTACAGGTGGAAATGCTTAGGAAATGTCCACACATATTCGTTCTTTTTCATCAGCTGGAGTGTTTAACAAGTCAAGCTGGTTCTTCTCTGATTCTCTCCTTTATATGTACCATAGAGTCCCGGTAAGATCATTACATAAATGAAATGTGAAAGGCAAAAATATAATACCAATATCGACATTTTTGTGAGAGGAGCACCAATTGAAGAAATGTTAGGGCCAAAACAATAGTACGAATGGTATCAGTTAGACAAAAGAAGACCACGCTTTCGAATGCGACTCCGGCCTAGGGTTGATGGGAACTCTTGGTTATGCACAGCCGGTCTCGTCCTTTCTGAAACCCTCCGAATAGTTCCTCCAAAACTAAATAAAAATCCCAATCTCTAACCAGAATAACTTGAACTCATAAGTGTGAGCAACACCCTCAATTGAAGCAGCACACTCAAGTGAAGCAAATTATAAGAGAAGGGTTTGGTCAAGTTTCTGGTGGTCCCCATCCATTTTTACCAATAAGTGTTGAGATTCACAGGGGATTACGTTCTTCCAAGTGCAGTTTGCTTTACCAGTTGGATCTTTTGGGCATTTGGAATCGCAGAACTTCGGAAAAAGTCTGTTTCGGTGAATTGAAGTGGTAGGTATTCCGAATGAGAAGCTTACCCAAATGCACATTGACGAGGTTTCCTAGTATGGTGACCACACGTTTACGAGTCAATTGGCAAGCTCGGAGAACAGTCAACATCCACCCGATCAATAACCACTGAACAGCCCCCTAACAACCCATCTCATTTACTAGCGATGGTGTGATGTTATCAGAGGATTGGTCCTCAGTGAATCACTCAATGAATCACTCAATCACTTGGCGTGGTGTGGGACAAAAGTGAAATGGATCACTTGACTTCGCTGAGTTTTGGAAATCCTGCAGTCTGTTGTAAATCAGAATATTATTCAGCACAAATCTCTGCGGATTTTGAAAACATCATGAAACTCTTTGAAACTCTTCTGTTTAGTATGGGTTTTAAGTTAATATCTGAATGCCAGTCAGTAAATCATGTCAGATCGACGCAGATGCCTTCTACTTATCTCCTCAGGGAGGCTGAATTACGTAGCTTACCAAAAAAAACATAAGTTTTTGTTCCTACTCTACTTGCGTATACAACCAACCCTGCTTGTTTTGTCTTCAGTAAGGGCACTGAAACTGAAAAAAAAAATTATCACGTGTGTATGAGGACCAGATGATGATGTTCAAACTTCTCGTTATGAAGGATTTGTGGGCCTTTGTCCGACAACCTAACCACATAAATTTTACTACAAAATATGAAGTGGGAATAGAAATGTTACTGTCCAGAAAAAGTTCTTCTGAAGCGCATTCAGCTCAGGCATATACAATTAAGACAGTCCGATATCATGAGAAAAATGTGGTAAAATAAATTGTCAACCCACTTTTGTGTGTCATCTTTGGGGAAGCCAAATTTCGCTCGTCGTTATCTCATTGCAACACTTGGGTATAGTTGCCTTTTCGGAGAGATTAGTTGTGGCCTCGAACGGAGCGTTTTCTTTTAAAAATTCGGTAGGTGAAGGCATTTCTGAGAAAGTTTCTTTCTGACTTTCATTTTTTGCACTCTCACTCCCACTGGAACCAGTTGCGAAGCTAAAATCCGCAAGACCGCTGCTTGAGGATTCTTTTTCATTTGCTTCCCCCAGAAAGTGTTTTGCTTCTGCAGTTCGATCATGGTTTGCTGAAGATGAAGAGGAACTGGAACTTTTTGATCCTGTGAGATTTGAATGCCGTCCATAGGAAGAACAAACATGTTTGAGAAAACGCTGCATGAGTGAGTGACGATTAATCCTCACACGACCAACTTCTGTTCCCTCGGTTGCGCAGTCCGATTTTACACTAGAGTCATCATCCCTACGCAGCCGTGGTGCAGACTGGTTTCTTCGGTATGGTTTCGAATTTTCTGACTGTGGTGAGGTTTGTCGGAAGACAGAGGAACACGATTGGCTAGTTTCGTTCGGAGCGGACAAAGAATCAGCAGTATGGATGTTTTGTTGTAATCGGGATGAACGCGAATGAGGTAACAAAGACGCAATCAAACGTGAGACAACACCAACACCAGTTCGGGTTGAATCTGATTGTGCTGTTGATTTGTGATATCGTGCGGTTTTCCTCGGTACTCGTCCATTCGCGTTTGAGTTGTCTACGGCCAGTCCGAGAGGAAGATAATGTTCAGCGTAGCTACTATTTACATACAGGACGACATACTGTCTAGCACTAGAGTAATATCTTTGAAGAAGCCGCATCCGCCTCTGCGTAAGTTCCAAATTTCTTGTCCCACCGTTAGTTACGTCGTTAGTCCGACCGACTTCCACGGGGATTGGGGAATAAATATGCCACGCTTCAACAATTCCTCCGCTGACAAGAAAAGCAGCTACCAACTGATATTTGTTAGACTTCTCTGTGCGATTCCTGTTCCCTGCTAAAGCCGACTCGACTTGGGAGGAGTGGTAATAATGACGTAGGAAGCGTTTCTCGAAACGTTCTTTTAACCGGTTTGCAATGTGTGTAGGAAGCGCTTTTGGACCAGGGGGTGAGTTTTCTGACGGCTCTGATAACCTTGATGACTCCAGGTAAAACGGAGAAACAGTGCATGTACAAGCATCCGGACTTGTTGCGCTGCTGCCCTCACTGATGGATTTTCGTTTACGACATGCGTCGTAATCATCCCGATCAGAAACTATTGTTGTGCGGTCTGAATTCTGCACTGAGGAGTAGGGCTTGATGGTAGTATTTGAGTATTCGAGTGAACTTTTTGTAACTTGCTGGTGTGCGCTGTGTGAATGTGTAATTGTTTGTCTATGTGACTTGGTTCTTACAGAGTTTGCGCTCCAGCTGGTCGGCCTGGGGCCAGAATCAGAGGAATAGTTCCCCCTGGCTGATATTCCGGGCCGACGGTTGTGCCAGCGATGATTGTAATTAGCCTCAACATGCATAGCTTTTAATGCTGAAATGGAATGGGAATAAGAATGGTAAGCTTCCGAAATAATCTAGGTAATTTATACTACTGCCAAATCTGAGTAGATTAACTCACTACGAAATTTTTAATTCCGGGAATTTCTATCCACTCATACAGAAATATTCAGCCAAAAACTAGCATGACAGTTTTATTTAGAAAAGGTGAAGGTCTGTGTGACGTGAACGAGTTTGTGCAACGTTTTATGGATAGGCATTTCGTGAATCTAGTACTGAGAATTTGTTAAGACTACATTTAGTTTATATGTATGAGAGTTGATCACACTGAGATGCGTGATGTGTCAACATCTATCGTTATTTTAGTTTGGCGTTGCGTCTCATGGATATATCAGTCCTCTTGGTTTTGTGATTTTAGTGGTCTCAACCTAAAATGAAACCAAACTCCCGAATAAACCAGTTGCGGCTGGCTCACATAACCCACTTCAATACTTTTTTTCAGGGAGAAATCAATAAGTATGGTCTCCCTGTGGCAGATATATACAGAGAAAACTTCGTCACTGAAGGTCTTAACCTTCCTCAGGATAGATGTCGCCTTCTTGTTTCGATGGATTATCCTTTTTCTAGGATATCAACATAGATTAGTAAGTATGCTAAATGGTCTTTTTCCACGAGCTTAGAAGAACGGTATTCCTAGGCTTTGTCGAATGATAAATGGACTAGACCGGAAAGCTTCTATGGCATGTGCCCAAGGGAAATTACCACAACTTGACTTAGCATCTAACGACCTGTTTGAATCCATCAAGTTGAAACATATACAAGCTAGAAGGAACGCTCCCAAGAGAGACTGACTATGAGAGAAATTTTCAAGTTATTTGCACGAAGGAAATCTAAATAATAACCTTCTTCTAGGAAGAGGTAGACAGCTTCTGATCAGCTCTTTAAAGTTATCCCTCCATAAATATGTCCCTTTAAAGAGACTAATCTTTAGAAGTGCTCGGTTCTTGATCAATTACTATAAAGGATTTTACCAGGAAAAGAAGGTGCAATGGGGCCACTTTCTCTCTACAGGCTAATTTAGAAACTTACAGAAGGTGGGCATATCCTCGATACTTTGACTCTTTTAACAAGGGGGTAAGCATAACAAGAATTCACGAATGATCAACCATACCCCTTATCACTCCGAAACCGCAGAAGCTGGAGAGTTTCTGTGCTGTAAAGATGAAAATCATATTAAAAATGCTCAATCGCTGGAGGGAACAAGTTGTTTTTATGTCAACATTCGGATATCTAATCATTTCTGGGACACACGAAGGTTAAGTGCAGAAATCTCACGCCAGAACCGGTTGGTCTCCGCTGAGTAGAGGTTTGGACTAAAATATACTGGGAGCTGCCTCTGGTTGTCCCTGCGAATTAATTGCTTTTATGCCAAAGTTCACGGACTGAAGCCACCTGACTCTATTTTGAAGATAGCAGTCTCTCTTGGGGACAGGTTTATTGTCGACGCTATTATAGTAATATTGAAGATGGACAGAAATACCGCAAAGGACGATAATAAAAGAACTAAAATGGCCTTGCAGTTCTGAAAGACTGCATTATTTTGGTTGCGCTTCAAGGTGAGACAAATCAGCCGACACGTTTCTGGTGTCTGCCATCGTTTTGTAAAAATGAGAAGTGAATGAAAAGGGAGCTGACGAAGTTGGAATTTTGACTTCCTAGCACTCGATACTAAAACCTTTTGGGTATGAGGAAGGCATGAACGTTCGACAAGCTATGGAAGTCACACACTTAAGAATGGTACTGATAGATATCAACCGTTGTTCCACTAGTCAGAAGTGTGGCGAATCAGCTGTCAGGTGTGGGCGTGCAAGGCGTTATGGTAGGCAACCGTCCTCGATTGCTCAGTTGGTAGAGCATTATCCCATAAGCGGGGCCAAAGTGTAGACTCCACATCCACGCGTGTCTTTTCATTCGTGCTGTGGATACTTGGGCTGCTGAGTTCAACATTCCTTAAGGACTATTCTACTTCTTGACAATGGCTTGTGGCGATAATTTTTTGTGTATTCTCTTTTTCACTTTCACACTCTCCTTTGGTCACGTTGAATTTGGCGTATGTGCCTCTTGTATCCGAACTTTCGCCTCAAAACTGTTGTGATACAGTCGAGATTTTCTTTGACAGCACACTATACTGCGAAAACTTTGGGATACGATCAACGGATCACTCAAAATTAAATCAGTTTAAAACACCAATATAATGAATTCCCGTGGCGTCTACACCAGTTCCTTTTATTGTTGGTTGCTCGCGTTTGCTGCTTTTGGTGCCAAACTCAAGCCGTACTTTGGGTAATTTGCCTGACTCAACCTTAACCGGAGCTTGCTACAAAATATATCCGTAACGCGCTAAAAATGTGAAACAAAACGCAACCGCCAATCCGTACAGTATCTCCCAATCGTTTGACAGCAGAGGATGCAATTATCTTTCTTGAAACCACCCGATGTGAGAAACACCCTCCTGCCAGTATGACTTTTGGAATGTTCAAAATATTTTCAGATTGATGGAGATGATAGGATCTGGTCCAGGATAGAAACATCTAGTTCTGTGGTTGATGACTTCACCTCAGTAAATATATATCGATAGCATGCAGTAACGATGGAGTTACACGCGTTCAGCCTGCTCACATGTTTCTCTAACAACGTGTGCGTTTTACAGAGTGCGAACGGACGAATTCTGCCGTTTTTACCGAATGTTCATAATCGGTGAACCCATATGATGACCTGTCACGGTATGACTTTCAGTATTCTTGCTTATTTGGGGTGCAGTGGTAACATGACATCGAAACCATTTCTTATACCAAATGTGACAAACCTGAGTATTTGGCCATACGTTTTGTTAGGACTATGCTCATCAGGTGCAAGAATTGCAGAGTCTGAGTGACAGAGAGGACCCGCGTTAGCTTACTCCCAGTTGACCGCTTTCTCATATTTTAATCCTCCCTGGTGGTCGTTGGTTTGTTCGCTGAGCTGGGCAATTTGATTGCAAACGTTTCGTCACCAATCGAGGTGACATCATTAGTGAAATCATCAGTGCGTTATTGTGGAGCGTAGGAGTGCGTAGCGGTGGGTTGGTGGTTGTGCCTTGTTTGTAGCGTGCTTGTAGCGTTTGTTTGCGTTAGGAGTGACCAACCCACCGCTACGCACTCCTACGCTCCACAATAACGCACTGATGACTTCACTAATGATGTCACCTCGATTGGTGACGAAACGTTTGCAATCAAATTGCCCAGCTCAGCGAACAAACCAACGACCACCAGGGAGGATTAAAATATGAGAAAGCGGTCAACTGGGAGTAAGCTAACGCGGGTGTCAAGTGATGAAAAAACATGTCTTCCACCTCTTTATTGCCGAAGCGTCGTACACATTTCGGGGCAGAATTGTGGCAATGATGTTTAAGGGCACGTTTTTAGGCTATGACACAGCGAGGCGTTGGAACGCGAAGTTCTCGGTGATGGCCTGTAGTTGTTTCAATCATCGATCATTGCCATAAGTTAGCAAACTGAAGCTCGCTAAGCTACGACTTTTGCCATTAGGTAATCTGACAATTTCGTGAACAGCATATAGGTATTCTTAATCAAGATCAAGTTGAGGTGTTTCAGTGCAGTTCAGTAACAAGTCAGTTTGAACATAGGAATTACAGAGAATTCCGTTCTGTTGCTGTTTTTTATTTTCACGAAGACTTTTGCAGACCAAGATTAATTGCTTGCAACCCTTTGCTTTACAAAATATATCTGAAGGATGTGCTCCGAGCAGAGTAGAGATATCTCTAAAATTACTAAATAACAACTTCTGATACATCAGCATAATAATCCGTAAGCACATGGGAGGGGGACAACATAACTGTGTGATAAATTTGTAGAAACGGTACTTGTGTTACTCTATCGTCATAAATTATGTAACTGAACGCCGAACACAAGAAAACAGTTAGCCAAATACGGTAACCGATCACAAGAAAACTTGATCCTCCAAGCAAAGACAGTCCCAGAAAAAGAGCTCCTGCATTTCCTCTCAAGAGTGATCTTTATGAGGATGAATAACCATCGTTGGTTCTGCACTTGGTGACATTGTCAAGCTAAGTAACTTGTACTCATTCAGCGTCGCCTTCTTATGGATTGATTAATAATAGGGTGATCGATATACGGGACGTGATACATTCATAATTAAAGATAGTTTTGTGCACCGGCCTCCTAATTTTACTGTTCTATTTGAATAGTTCGTGCAGTCTTACAATCCAACTTAAGAAATCTGCTTCAGATAAGTCCAGCTGAACGTGTGTTAATTCATAAATCCATACTCCTCTGTCGCACGACACGAATAGATTTTGCCATTGAAGAATTCGGTTAGGCAATGCATCTGAAAGCTAGACTTATCGGATGGGATTAAAAACCCTCCATACATGCATTTTGTTGTATCGCTTGGTACGCCATTTTTTGGGTCCGAGTTTTACGCATGCCCGGGATGCAATACAGCTGTTATCAGAATAAGCTGAGGCGCGGGTGTTTTCCGGCTAACGTTTATATTAGTGGAAGTCGGCGTTCGTTTGGTCCGATGGCCGGCGATTGCGCACTACCCATGAAAAAATAGGCCGCTAAATAACGTGTATCCACTGGACGTTGGGTTGCATATTTGAGCGTTTGATCGTTTGATGTACGTGATCGTCTGTTAGCAGTTTTCTGCGACTAATCACATGCTTTCAAATGTTATCCCGTAGGGCATACTGAAGGGTATTCTTTGCAGTTTTAAATCATTTGTTAATTGATATTTCATGCTGCAAGTCTCAGTCTCTGCTTAAAAACCGAGGAGAACTTTTTACTTGACCCATTCTTTTTGGGAATCATCAATACTGCACATCTCACGAAACTCCAGTAGGGAGTATCGATTTCGAGACCTCTCCATCAGTAGTTTGAACCCTTGATCATTCGGCCACAAGCAGTTGATCAGCCCGTGCTCCAGTTACGAAAACTATATC